GTAAAGTGCAGGAAAATCACTTTGTCCAGCTCTGTACATCTGGCCATTTCTCTTTTGGATACTGCAGAGATTAGAACTTCCTGACATTGTATTTGATCAAGTGATATTCCATTGAATAAGGGGCCTCTCTTTCTTTCAGCCTAGAATTGCTAGAGGGATACATGCCACTAAACTGATTTGTCTGATACAGATTGATCTGAAATATGTATCCTTTGAAATACTACTGACTCATCAATCAAACAGGCAGCTTTAACAGTGGCCTATACTTCTCATTTTTATTCCAGATTGGATTATCAAATTTTAAATCTTAATTTAAGTAGTAGTTCCCCTAAAATCTTTTCATATATTCTCATAATATTTAATTCACTACTGCAAAATTGTGTTAATCAAATATTTGGTTTGGTTTTTTTTACACCAGGGGTGTCAAACTCTATTTGATTGAGGTCCGCATCAAGGTTGCATTTGACCTCAGTGGGGGGCTGGATGTGGCCAGGGTGGGCATGCCCAGCTTGATATCACTCGTGTGAGGGGCACCTGTAGTGGCTGAGTACTCTGCCAGCGAAAACGGGCTCCTGTACTCCATTTTCAGCTGCAACGGCTTGGAGGGCCGCCCAAGCTCTGTTTTTTTCTGGCAGAAGCACCTCATTCCCACAGGCCAGATCTAAGCACCCCGTAGACCAGATCCGGCCCATGGGCCTTGAGTTTGACACCCCTACTTACACATAATTTTATAATAAATCTGTTTTGGAAAATAGGAGGATCAACAATATGGTATCCTTGTGATGTCTGGGATTACATCTTTTATAACCTGGACCAAGAGAAACCCAATATAGAATCTTCTAACATTCATTCTTATTCAGTTCTATTTCTTAATGATCCAGACAAGTGTATTTCAAATTTGGCAACTTCAACTCCTAGAATTCCCTAGCAAGTGTGCTCCTTTGAAATAAATCAAGTAAATATTCACCAAGTGTTATTATTTGAATATAAATTAAATATAAGATAATTCTTAGGAGCGCGAGACAAACGCTGAAGAAAAAGAAGAAGATAAGATAATTCTTAGAGTTTTGTGAATAGGTAACATCCTAATGAGTACAAATAAAATAAATATAGGATTCTCTGCAGTATGCTAACATTGTCAGAAATTCTTCTTACTGCTAAATTTCTACAGAGCATTTCCCATCTCCTTAAATAGCCTTTACCTTCTGCTTGCAGAAGAAAAGATTGAGAAGGCACATGAAGCTCTCCAAATATCTAAAATATTGTCACATTGTAGAAGATTCAGACTTATTTTTGCTTTCTCCAGAGGGTAAAATTAAGATGAATGGCATGGAAACTTAAGGATGTTCATATAGATTAGACATTCTTTTTATTGACAGCTGTCAATCGGTAGAGTGATTGTCAATCCATAGAGTGATTTTTTCCTCTTCACTGGAGGTTTTCAGATGGAGATGAGACAGTAATATAGCAGGAATAATGTAGGGAATTCTGAAGTATATAGGGGATTAGATGATTACCTCATAGGTCCCTTCCAACTCTGATTCTATGATTTTAAGATTAGAATCTTAGAGTTCAAGCACAAATGTAAAACAAATTCCATTTTCATTTCATTATATTTTATATAATCAAATAACTAATAAATATCCTCACATATTTCATATTTTTATCACATTAATATTTATACCTTGCTGACACCCTTAGGAAAAGCTCTTCAAAACTGCAGTGAAAAAATTTCCAATGTAGTCTTTTGGTATATGTATTTATTCTAACCAATGTTAACAGAAATCAGCTAATCCCTGTAGGGTCTTTACACTTATAGATGCCTGTAAATAGAGCTGATATTTTTCGCCTTAAAGAGGTTTGATATGTGAAAGACATGTAAGAGTTGCTTTCCTTGTCATGGCATTTTGTACTTTAGAAAGCTGAATGTGGTAATATATTTTATTCTGTGGGTCCTTGTATAGCTTTGCA